TATGAGTTTTGCGTTTGACCCATAACTTATACAACATGTGCCTCTATTAGTGGAAATTGATTGGTGATGTGCTAGATAGATTTTCTTACAAAAAATTAAAGGTACGATCACAGAAAGGTATGTTGTACAAAGCTCTTAACGGTTAAATGTCACTAATATATTCACCGTGTAGCTCCTCTATTGGTTGAACTCAGTATTTGGGGCAGGATTTTATTTGTTAATCTTCATTTCACGACACTTAAATGCTGGCTCCGTCAGCACTTAGGAATTGGGCTTAGACTTTGCTGAAAGTTACTTTTAGCAGCTTTATACAATGCTCTTAGGTCCTACTTTTTGCTAAGATTTTTTTTTAACTCTTAAGTCCATGTGTACGACCATTCTTAAGACCATTCTTAGGAAGTTTCATGCATACTGGCCCAAGTTTCTAATTGAGATGTGTTGAACTCCAGCATGTTTCATAGCACAGTCCAGAGTGAAGCCATTCCTTTTGTTCAGTAGTTAAACCAGCGATAAATAGATATGGCGCCTCCACACAAAAGCTGTACTGGCAGCTGTAGAATTTGGATCTGAAAATAGAATGCCCAATTGTATTTCTGATCATTTCTCCCTTCTCTTTTTACTAGTAATCAAACTAAATTGGTCTGCTACTCAAACAAGAGAATGGTTATGTGGAAGTAAAATTGGACATTAGTAGGCCCGGGAGGGGAGGCATATTGGGTCTGTTATGTCTTAGGCATTAGGCCAGAAGAGATTGTTTTGAATACTATGTGACCTCGCTTTGTGATAGCTGCCTGCAGTTGGCTCCGCAGAAGCTCGGACCTTGGAGAGGCAGACAGTGGAGCAATATAGTAGTCAATATAATATGTTACGCAATTGATTGCATCATGTTAATCATACTTATGTTAATCATACTAATCATATATTAACCATGTATTTTTGGCGATTCAGGGACAATACGTCAATGCGTTAATCATTAATCAATGGAACACCCAAACATTAACAGTGATTCAATGTCATATGATTAATATCTATATACATATCTTAAGTAGAGTCTAGAGGCTGAAGAGTCTCCAGTAAGTTCCGTACAATGGGTGGACTTTACCTTGCTACCAAGGTGAACCAATGGAGCAGGAGAATTGTGTTTGTTATACGTTTCAGCTTAGTTTGTTGATGTTTCATGACCAATCAGGACTTAGAAGGCCTGGTAGTTATGGTTTATCTACTGGTTGCTCTGTGTGCCTGGGGTGACTTGGTACCAAGGGCCAGAGTGTGATGGGAGCGCTTTGCTGAACTTGCTGGAATAAAAGAGATTTTCTTTACTCACCAAACTAAGAGGTCCAGACTTTTATTCTAAGTGCTTGATTTATAATTTTTCTACCACAGTTATCAAACCTAATATTTTTGGTCAAATTTAACAACTTAATTAATACATGGAATTGCAGAATAGGACTTTCATAGTTTTTCTTTTAAAATCAGTCCAGTTTAAATTAGATTCTATATTCAATTGATAATGGATTTCACTGTTTTTCTTGAAATTAGAGCCTAACACTCAATTGTAAAGTAGACTGTCAGCAACTGCCAATGCAACTGTAAACTATTAACTGCTTAACACATACCACCGAAATAACCAGCATCATCTGGTGGAAAGACAACCTGAAAACCATGTAAAAGTCAAGATACCTTACTAGAAAATGACTCGGGTAAAAGTTAAAAATCAACCATTTAAATACCGCTTGACTAAAAGGCTTAAAGTATTTGACATTAACAGTACTTAAGCATAAAAAGTATTTAGCTGCTATTAAATATAGGCATCGAGGTCCCATGGAATGCATTTTGGTTTTTGTTGGTTTGGTCAAGAAATGTGCAGAAGTGTTTTTTCAAGCCTATTTACAACCCTATAATTTGGCCCTAAAATGAAACAAACTGAGTGGTAAGTTTTGTCATTTAATGTTTCCTGGAACAATCTGCCACATGTAACCGTAATATCTCCACAGAGACTAAGCACATCAGCATAATCATAACTTTCTTTTCAGCACTGTAACAAGAACATTGAAGTTAGTTTTCATCTCACACAACAAATGATTTTATGACGCTGGCTTGATCATGCTAGTTTTATCAAGAACTCCCTGCAGCAAGCTGCGCAGCTTCTATATGTTGTTTGTAATGAATTTGGAATTCTGCTTTTTTTACTGCAGTATCAATAAGATATTTGTTTAGCTAACCAAAAGTAGGCTATGGGAAGTACAAAAGCCTCTTGTCAATGTCAGTATCACAGACTTTTTAATGTTGATCACTACTTCCAAGCTAAACTGAGGTATGTTTTCCCCCCAAAAAAGTTGCTAGCAATGTAATAAGCAACTTACATAGTTAGACCCCTGCAACTTAATGGTTCTAACTATGTAAACTTTTGGGAAACATGCCTTTGACTCACCCGTTAAAGATGAACATCAACCATGCCTGTTGCCAGTTTGCTTTCTTGGGAAGAGTGTGAAGAGTGCCGACATCACCGTCACAGACTCAAATGGCATCCTCAGGCATACAGACTGCCATTTCTGCTGATCTCCTCCATTTTATTCTTCCAAATACCTGAGGAACGATTGAAGTCTGAATGCAAATGTCCATTGAGCTTGAAAGTGGACTGGTATTTGTTAAGTTTGGGGGCGTGGTTAAGACTTATGTAACAACCTAGGAATTTCACCTGTTTCACTTCTTTCTTTTACCTATTCAGGAATTATATTTGAAAGAGGGAACAACAGTGTTTCAGATTCACAGTATGTCATTTACATGTGCCAAACTCTTCTTTTTCAACAATGCCAAGGTAAAGTCAGATTTTAATTCTATGGCATCTTAAAATAGATGTTGATCAGTAAAGTACAATAGCCATCTGTACCAGTTTCCAAATGAAAAACTAGATGCTGTTGGAACGACAGTGTATTCCCGTGACTTTTGAGTTATCGTGCTAAGTGTCTGTGATAGTGGTGGACCAGTCCCGAAGCCAAATGTATTCCAAGTTCAAGTAATACACATATGTGTGTTTCTACTGTGACAGTGTAGACAAAATTAGGTTACCCATGCAAAATGTAACAAGTAATGATCACTATGAATAGATTAGAGCCAAAATTACAGAATTTATTTATAATTATTGCTGAGTAGAATGTGTAAGATGCTAAGATTATTACTCAAAGTACAAAATTGCCAAAAAATATAGTTAAGTACAAAAATGCAGTACAATTACTCAAGCTCTAAACATCAATGAGATTAAACAAAAGAGAAAAAAAACACCAAAATGTATATTTCAAGCACAATAGGCTTTTCCTCCTTTATACATTGAGATACATATACTACAAACATTTTATTCAATCATTAAGGAGAGTTCAAACAGATTTCATGATTGGCTTTAGGAATTTTAAGGCAACCATAACAATGAGGTTTGGTTACCTATATGGCAAATTACCACCTAGCCTCAACCATTCCTAATCCTCCCATTTCAAGTTGACAGCATCATTGACACCCAGACTGGCTGGGGTGCCATGAAAGATTTCTCACCCCATGAAAGCATATCATATTGGGCCCCCAACCAAGCATTTAGGTTTGGTTTCACCATTGTTAAGCACCAAATCCACCCCAAACTCCTAGATCATACGGTACTCGCGCGATACTGGTCGGGACATGTCCTTACCATCCAGAGTTAAATCTATGCCCATGGCCCTTAACTACAATTTTGTTCCAAAGTTTTTTTGGAATCGTCCTTAACTACCCCCTCCCCACCGGGACAGAGCAGCATCAGAAATCGTATGCAAAATCAGGAAAACATACACCCTCTCGCACGAATTCTTTGCTTTATGCAACAGGGAATTTGCATCTACGCACCTAGCACGGGGTTGCGGATGACTGCCCGCGCAGAAGTCCTTTCATAATAAGCGGTAGGTGCTCGCAGCACAGCGCTTTACTTTGCCCAGCGGTCGAAATGAAACAGCGGGAAAGCAGATGCAGAATGACTATCTAACAAGTATTTGCTTTACATGACACCGCTTCAACGACTGACCCGAGAACTATTAATGCAAAATACACACCTTATAATCCGTGGAAGATCATGGAATTCTCGTTTATTTCCCCATTCTCCGAGTATGTTAATGTTTTAAGTATTTTATATAACGTATGTTTTATATGCGAATAAAGCACGTTTCCACACACTCTTTCCCGTCAAGAGTAGTCGGCATTACTTTTTACTCAGAAAGATAGCTGATGTACGTTTGTTCACTGAAAATACAAGAGTAATAATAATCAAGGTAATTAATGATATTAGTAGTTGTAGTAGTAGTAGCAGCAGCAGCAGTAGTAGTAGTAGAAGCAGCTTACACTGCGCCTGGTACCTAACCTAGGCACAACTTTTATATCGGGGACTTGTAATCAGACTTTCCTAACTTCCCAAGTTCAGCAGTGATATCACAGAAAAGTGGAATCCGCTGACCAACCCATTCATAAATAATCGTCGTAGGCATTACAAGCACGATAAGCTCAGTCGATGACCAGTTTGCTACCAGCATCTGCAATGTACCGGAGATAAGATGCGCGCATGTAACCTTGACAAACACTCCTGCCCCCCGAATCCAATGCAATGGTCATAATTTTCCCCACATTGACCATACACATCATTGTATAACTGTTTAGATAACACGCGAGAGCGTCCAAACTCCCAGAACCAACCGCCTTACTCCTCTGCCTTAGTTTCATTCATCCACGCTTCTCCCATCAACTGATTTGTCCGCGTAGCGCACAAGGCGCCTACGTACATGGTTATCCACGTGAGACAAATAACAGCTTACATAAAGAGAGTGACGGGACTAAGAACCAATCGGCGCCTTCCGACGGCGGTGTCGTGCGTCTTGCATGGAAATACCGTGCCTGAGACCAATAGACAGGGGCCGGGGGAGGGCCGGGGGAGGGACGGGGGAGGAACCTGTATTGAGGTCATCGCAGGCGCTGAGGGATTCGGGGCAGCAAGAATGAGAAAACGCCGAATAGTGTAGAGTGCAGTGTGTCAATTCACATACCGAGAAGCGCGGTGCGAGGAACCAGGCAAGACCTAACAATTCACTTCACTTTTTACACATCTCTTCGGATTTCTCTAGAAGCACAAGGAAACATTTGGACAAAAAGGTTTGCATTTCATTTTGCGTTATTTAACTATTTATGTTAGGAAGGCTGACTATGACAGGAATTGAACTTGCGTAGAAAGGAATGTTTCTTCTGAGTTTCTTCTGTAAAGTTGCTATTGTTTTGGTGATGGACTAAACTAAAGGCAGGTTGACGCGTGTTTCTTTCAAACGGTAGTCTTCACCAGTGTAAATGTACTTAGATTGATGCGTAGTTTAATAAACGATGTAAAAAATTGATTGCATAACTGTGTTACTGTGCGGTCAAATCCGGTCAGTGGGCTATTTTATAGCCATACCCACACTCCTATAGAAATTTACAAGCGGCCCTTTTATGGCAATTTATGACATTTTCATTTATGCTCTTTTCCCTAAAATTTGGCACAATACGAATCTAGTACACGATTTCCTATATGAATACTTATCTCGACTAGAGGGGTCAAATACAAATTGACTAAGTTGTACCTTGCAGTAATAACGGGGATACTGAGTCCCAGTCCCAGCAATAGAAATCCCGACATGCATATTGCTGGATGTCTCTGGCTTATCGTTTCATAATATTTCTGACTAATTAAAGCGGCGCATGGTGTTGCAGGGCTCGCCTCCCACACACACACACCATCAACGCAGGCTGCACACGTAACTGCCCCTGAAGTAGGTCGATCGCTGTTGTGTGAAACCAGAGGCGTACGACATACTCTATGAACTCTTCCAAACCCACCTGACCGAGGCTATTTCACCTATATCCTGGCCGATCGCCGGACATAATGACCACAATATGATTGCAATAATTCTTGGTGTAATCTAATGGCACGTAGCATATTTATGTGCAAATATGCTGTTATATGATAGTTTGCCTTAATGAATAAATAATGTTTAGCGGGTTATTGTAGGACAAATGAGCAATATAAACAATTGAATCAACTGTATCGTGTTGTCATTGTTTTCTTTGACTGTGAAATGACTTTCTGAGCACATTTATCTTTGGCTAAGGTGGATGATGTTTGAAAGAATTTTTCACGCACATCCCATGAGCGTGTGAGCCTGGTCTAATTTAACCCGAATGACAGTAAGAGTGAGATGGGGGTTTGTGAAATCGTGTCAGTCTTGGAGGCTGCATGGTTTATCCTCTCAGTGGAGGCTACTGTGTGGACTGATTTGGACTGGCAGAAAAACAGGTTATTACAGCTGACCTAGTCTCACACAAAGGCGCTCCAGATACGCTAAGCTTACCTTGGTGTGAATGCTGTCAGTCAAACTGTACAGCTTCAACCTCAATGACAAACCTATCACCCCCTAACCATTCAGTGTCAGTCTCCGCAAGCATGGTAATTAATAACCCCACAATAATAATCCTAAAGATGCATTAGTGATACAGTATATCGTCTTAGCTTATTGGTGAGTATTTCTCAGGTACAGTGCTGATGACCAGGGGCCTTGGCTGAGTGACTTGCACGGTACGTTTTTCACTGTACAGGCAGGTTACAGCACATGCAGATTAAGATCTCTGGCTTCAACCTCGGGGGTGTACAGATAGGCTGGTGATTGCCCACTGGGTGAAGATGAAAGCCATCTCCAGACTCAATAATGTACCTCCAGATAACTCCTGCAACTATGGGAAGATCCCCGTCGCAGCATGGAAAAGGTACTCGATGTACTATTTGGAACAGGCAGCCCGACAGAGGAATGAAGTCATTTCCCCCCTTTAAAAATGTCTCGGAGCTGCCTGGAGTTTAAACACAGCTGAACGCTTTCCCAGGCGCTGCGGGTGAGGCGGTGACGTGATTGTGGGGTGGAGCGGAGCGGCGCGGAAAGCCCGTCCCTGCTGCTGGCCCCGCTGGCTGCCGTAACCGTGTGGGTGTGAGCCTGCATATCTCCATTCAGAGCGGCTCATGCGTGTGACCGGTGTGTGATGGCTGGTGACGCACGTAGAGAATCGCCGCAGGGGAGGAAAGAATGAAGTAGCATGCCTAAATGAGGCCAGCTCATCAGCCTGGGCTGCGCTGCCTCCGCGGACATGCTTTGGTGCCTGAGCGGAATGCCGGAGAGCCGAACGGGGGTCAAGGCAGGAAGCGGTTACTGCCCATCCAGCTTGCTGGGATGTGTCTGATGTGACCAGAACAAAGGGTCAAACTAAAGGAAAAGGAAGCTTCCAGAAGCATTTCCTCCCACCCCTCCACCACTTTCTTCTCAGACGGTATCTTTGGGTGGAGGAGTCAGTGGGTGACACTTTAAACTTAGACCTGCGGGGTCAGGGGTTCGAATCTTGCCTGTGCTTGGTGTGTGTAGGGCTTGCGTTCTCGCCACACGCCGCAGGAATTTCCCCTGGGTGCTCCGATTTCCTTCCACAGTCTGGAGACATGCAGTTAGTCTAATCTCTGTCTGTATGTGTGTGGACTGGTGTCCCGTCCAGGGTGTACCCTGGCCTTGTACCCTGCTCTGCCTGGGACATTGATGCATGGCATTATACTCACCGATAATACATTAACTGTCCTTAAGTGGGCAAAGTTCACCAAAGCGTATAATAAACCCAGGTTACTCATCTGCCAGGGCAGGGTTTAAAAATGTCCCGCGTTCCGTCTCATGCAGTGCTGGCACATGCCGGCCCAGTGCTCTCTAACAGTTGTTCATTCTCCCAGCAGCCAGCCGCACCGGCTGTAGTGGCTACCCGATATTGGGCAACAGTACATAGCCCGCTGTTCTTTCACCTTTGCAGTGAGAGACCTTCTCATCCAAGCTGGATGGGGGCCAAAAGACATACTTTCCCGGAGGGGGATCTGTCACTCTGGCTATGTTCACGAGTGTTCCAAATACGCATCTGAATCCCCTAGCCTTTTATGGACAAAAAAAACAAAAATTATGTAACTCCTTATGTGAATGCAGCTGCTTGTGCTTTGTTCAATTACATAAATCACTACTGTGACGCAATTCTAAAACTTGTTAAGGGATGTTTAGCGGGGTGATTTGGTTCATGTAATGTGGTAAGCGTGTCTTCTTTGTGTAAGTTGTTTTTTTTTTTTTACTAAAACGAAGTGCAAAATCTTTTATTGGGACTGGTTTTTAATACGGAAACCCAGTTCTAGTTGCCATTTTAAATAGCAGCCCATGATATGTGAGGTTTTTGGTTTATCCATTTGTTAGGCCACTCGTTGCAAAGATTTCCTTTTTTCATAGGCACTCTATTTTTTTCTCATTAATTTATTAGTTATAATTCAGCCCAGGGCAGCAGCAACGTAGCCTCATGCCTCCCGTCGGCTCTGACGTCTGAATGTGAGGCTTGGGAGATGACTTCTTTAACCTATGGGGAGGTGGGATCACTATGCATGTCTCAGTCGCTGGATAGTTTTATCCAAGGGAACGTGGTAAAGTACCCAATGGGAAGTGAGCCATTTTGGAGTATGTGCGCTTCTGGGGAGACCTGGAACCTTCCTTCAGATGGTGAACTCTCAGCAGATGGGGAATCTCATTTACTCCCAAACCTTTGGTGTAAAGTAGAACAGCTTATAAGTCTGGCTCCAATATATATGTGGCATTTTTGCACACATGCCGGTTTTTCTGAAAGTACAGGTTAGCCTTTCACATTCCGGTCATCACCGGTTTGTCCTTTGATCAGCCAGCTGGGCACAGAGCCAAGGTTTATGCTGCGGAGCGTCAGAAAGGACAAAAGCAGGCACCCGTCAGGCTAATCGTCACTCTTCACTTATGTCAGCCTCTTCCGCTGTCCTATTTTGAGGAGAGCATCTTTTAGAATCCACTGTGCTGCTGTGACCTGATTGTAATTGTATTTCCATTGATATAATTATGTTGTTTTTTTTAAATGACTATGGCTATGAGAGAAAATTAAATTGGTCCGGCAATGTTCTTTCAGGAGTGGAAAATAAAACCGAACCGAAGAAACTACGTGATTGTTGGAACTGTTGCCTTCGGGCTTAAGTCAGCATATTGACCTGCCTTTGATTCTGTTATCTGGCCTGTTCTGAATTTGGCTCCCTTCCGAAATGAGTTTAGAGCAGCGGCCGCTCTTGTCCCCCCAGGTCCTTGTGTTCACAGATAGCATGTGCTCCCGGCGTTGCTCTTGACGGTTCTGTCCATGACCAGTCCCGTAAGTCACGACCAGGCACTCAGTGCCTTGAGGTCACACCGCGACCCAGTTTCTGTGGCTGGCTGGATCCTGCAGCCCCCGTTCAGCTGGGGAGGCAGGGGGTGCCGTATGCATGGCACTGTTCGCAAAGGTAGATCACCCGTCTTCGGTCACCGAGGGCTTTCCTGAATCATTTCCACCATGAGGCAGCCAGCGTTTGTGAACTTTCAATCCTTGTTCAGTCAAGCTTCTCTGACAGGTTGTGGCTGAGTCCAAAGTTCAGCACTGTGACAGGGCACCATCTGTGCTGTGTCGGTCACCCAGTTAGGCAGCTGTACCCAAAGGGAATGTGTCTCTCTTATCAGTGTTCTGTTCTGCGCCTTATCTCCATCAGACCTTGTAACGCTGCCCTCATGTGTGCTTTGTAAGGTATGTGTGTGTGTGTGTGTGTGTGTGTGCGTAATTATTACATTGTGGGGACCAGATTTCCTCACAGTGCGATAGCCTGTAACTTTTTACCTTGTGTACACATTATGTCCCCATTAGGATAGGTAAACCCGCTCGCACACACACACACACACACACACACACACACACACTAGCGCTAGTTCAGCTCCAAGCTATGAGAGTGTTCCTGTCATTGCATGGTTTTGCGTCTTTTATGTCTTATGTTAATCTGGTTATCGTGTGTAATGAACCTTACTAATTCACACCTGGCTCGTGTGATACTGTATAACAAATAACTTTACAAAAAGATGAGGCCTAATTCAATAATAGTTCTGATAAAAAATATATATTATTAAAAATATCCACTTACTATCTTGTAATATATATAGGACACAGAGAACATAGAGTTAAATGACCACGCTAAAGATAGTTAGCTGTATGCAGGAAGTTCATATGTCACCTAAGCCAGACACCAAAAGCACTTATGAAAGTACATAGCGTTGTGAAAGGTTCCTGGAATAAAGTTCTCGATGGCACTTCACCCATCTTTGTACCATTTATGGGTAGTAAGTAAGCACTTATATAGCACCTTTTTAGAACAAATGTCATAAAGTGCTTCACAGGCAATATAGACAATCAAAAATCAACAGAAGTCCTGTCTGTACAAATTAGTTTTCAGATGCTATTTAAAGGAGCCCACTCTGCTGGCTTTTGTGATCACCGTGCGACTTTATGTTAAAGAAAACTTAGGAAGGAAAGCACTATTGAACAGCAAAATGGAATTTATGATGTCCTTATTTTGGGGCTTATTTACAGTCAGTTTGGGATGCAAGTTTGGGATTCCCTGTAGACCTGGGAAAATAGTTCAAAGGATCTTTGGTCTGCTGCATGCTGCATGGGTAAAATGACTGCCTTGTTGACTTTGTCACTCCATGGGTGAACTCTGCATGGCCGTCTTTGTTTTGCCCCTCCTTTCTGCGGTCCACCAAGGGACCCCTTGAACCCCCCATTGCATCACCACATCTTAGTTATAATTGCCCAGCACACTGGGGGAACTGGTCTGCAGCAGTCCTCAAATAAAGACTTTAGCTTCTATTTGCAGAGCTTGTTGCCTGGCAGAGAACCATGAAAGATAACATTCAGAGGTGGTCTGAAATAAATGTGGACTTTGCTGACAGTTACCAGTTAACCAGTACAAATTAACCAGCACTTTCTTTGATTTTCCCAGGAACACTCTGCTCTATCACTGCAACATGACTCTGGAAGACGATGGGTTGGGCCGCCTCTAGTCCTGCCAGTGTACCTGTTTCCTCATGTCTGAAGATTCTGAGCCCAAGGCGTACATGTACTCGGCCCTCGAAGGGCAGGATGGGGGAAGCCACCACCCATTTGGGGAGGGGAGCACAGCGGGCCGTGGCTCCATGGGACAGCTGCACCTGATGAGCGGCTTTGCCGAGGGACGGGGCCGTGGGCGGGCCGGGTCAGAGCTGGGTCTCGCATCTGAGGGCAGCGACAGCAGCAGCCAGGACCACGGCGCCTCGCCCCATGGCGACAGGAAGAGAGCACGCTCACTGCATGAGGACGTGGACATGAAGAGCAGTGGCTCCAGCGGAAGCGGCACCGAGTCCCACAGCAATGAATCCCACGGCAACGAGTCCCGTGGCAACGAGTCTCACGGCAACGAGTCTCATGGAAACGAGTCTCTGGGCAGCTCCAACAGCAACAGCAAGGACTCTGCCCTGCTAGAGTCATCTGGGAGCAATAAAAGGTCAGTGAGCCACTTTCCTCATCGAGGGGGAGTTGTACCTATGTGAAATCTAGTTTGAAGTCATGTCTTTTTGTGCTCATGACTCTGGAATGTGATGCTGAATTAATCGTTTGTGGCAGAATAAGCCTCTCCTTCTTGGGTGGGAATTTGCTTTGGCGACGTGGTGTTTCGCGTGCGTATTGGTATGCAAGAGCAGGAACACGCGGATAGAGCGTGCAGCACGTAGGCTCGTCTTCCTCTGAGATTATGCTTGGCTCTCTCTATGAAGCCACACCCACTGTCCTGTCAGGGGAACTGCTTATTCGACTGTTGCCTGTCAATCACGGTGATGGGTGGGCCGAGGAGGTTTCTGTGGCAATCTTTTTTTTTTTGTCTGTAGAATGGATTTTGGATTCCTTCCAGACTGTACTGCCTGAACCAGGGCGTTTACATAGTCAGCATGTTCTTTTTCCATTTTCGTAACTGCCGTTACCATAGCTAGTGGTAAATAAAGAAAAAACAGCACTCCTTGCGGTTTTAGTCTGGAATTAAGTGTCCTTTCCAAGCTTTGGAAATAGTCTGCGTTGTTTTGTTTGATCTGCCTTTCTTGTTCCTATTTTATGGCAGGCTTTTGTCTTGTATGACACCTGGAAGGAGAAATAAAAAGCTGTTATAACTTGTTTAATATAAGTAATTATAATTTATTGGTACTTTGGCAGGAACATAAATTTGTTGTGTGCAGGCTACAGGGACTTGTTTACATAATTCAAGCTCTATTTCTGTTTCTAAGGATATCTGTCAAGGTACTTACTATAATAAGTTCCTTTAGTGGCTTGTTATAGACTTACTTGGATCTTCACCGGCCTCTGGTATCGGCTACAGCCTTAGTGAACCTGGTGGTGTCTCACCAGCTAATTTGTATTTACTTAGACACACTGTCCTGCATCTGCTCCTCGTAAGCAGTTTATTTATGGTGTGTACTACGCGAGACATATGCTCTACTTTTTCTGGAGTGCCAGAGCAGAGTGACAAAAAGTGGTTTCAGGTGACATAAACAGACCGGCAAAATATCCAGGGTAAGTATTTTAACCTGACCTGGTCTTGAGGGTCACGCAGAACAGCTGAACCTTCTAGAAGATCTGCTGTTGACAGTGTGTCCCTCGTTATGACCCACATGTGGCCATCTCAGTGGACCCTCGAAAAAGCCATCTAATGGGAAAATGATCACTGTCCGCAGGAATGCTGCCGAGATTCGGTTTACACTGAGTAAAATGTCAAGGCTTGTGTCATCTAAGGTCTTTGTTGGCCCTGCAGCTCCAACTCCCACAGTCCTTCACCCCCGAGCAGCTCCAATGCCTTCAGTCTTTTGAGTGCCAGCTCTGAGCAAGACAACCCATCCACCAGTGGCTGCAGGTCAGTTCTGTTCACACACACATGCATGCAAATGGCCTGGCACAAAGCAGGTGGTCATTGCCATGGAAATTGTTGTAACCCACCGGCCCTTAAGGGCGACTTCCTCAAACCATTGTGTGATGTGTCTGTTCTTGTCTGTCTCATGCCGTCTACAGTAGCGAAGAGTCCACTAAGGCCAAGACGCAAAAGGAGCTGATCAAGACGCTGAAGGAGCTGAAGCGCCACCTGCCCTCGGAGAAGAGGAACAAGCGCAGCACATCCAGTACCCTCAACACACTCAAGTATGCCCTGCACTGCGTCAAGCAGGTCAAAGGTGAGGGCATTCTGCAGTGCAGCTGGAGATGGTGTCATGCCATGAAAGTTTGTGATGACTTGATGGTTTTCCGAATTGGTTTGTTGACTGAATAGCAAACAGAAGTGTACGGCGCTCCTTGGTAACTCTTATTTGTATATGATGCAGCCAATGAGGAGTACTACCAGATGCTGATGACCAATGACAGCCACCCATTGGGTTTGGATGTTTCCTCTTACACCATTGAGGAGATCGACAGCATCACCTCCGAGTACACCCTCAAAAACACGGTATGTGGACCACACCAAGAATGCCCACGGCTCCCAGTCATCAAAGTCACACACGGCAATGAATATGTCCTGCGGCCTTCACTCTTCTGATGGTCCTCATGTTCTCGCATGTTCTTGCACAACAGGACATCTTTGCCGTCACCGTGTCCCTCATAACGGGGAAGATCGTTTACATCTCAGACCAGGCGGCCTCCATCCTGAACTGCAAGCGGGGCGTCTTCAAGAATAGCAAGTTCGTGGAGTTCCTGAGTCCCCAGGATGTCAGCGTCTTCTACAGCTTCACCACGCCCTACCGCCTTCCCTCCTGGAGCGTGTGTACCGGAGCAGGTATCCCCCTGGCCGAGGCTCATTCACATCCATATGTGGCCTGGGCCCTCAATGCTTTGTCCATCTTCACCCATCTCCTGTTAAAATTATGTTACTTATTTTGCTTTTTGCTCATATTCCAGAGTCTTCCCCCTCTGATTGCCTGCAGGAGAAGTCTTTCTTCTGCCGAATCAGGTATGCACAGATGCCAGACCTTGCCATCTGTTCCTATGTTTTTATGCATCTCTTCTCCCATTTACACGACTGGGGGCGGGGGGGGGAGTTATTTTAGTCGCCTCGCACCATGCTTGAAAAACCTGCTGTTGTTTTTAAAGTTTAGCGCTGCCCCCTAGTGGGAAAAAGAGGCATTTTCTGACCCGATTTTGGAAGAGAATAGTAGAAGGACTATGGGTGATGGGAAAAGTGAAACATTAGTGCAGCTAGATTACCACACTCTGTCGGGAAGCTGCTGACAGATTCGAACCACTCAGTGCTGGTTGCTTCTGGGTTAAATTAGGCAGTGACTGACAGGGTGGAATAATCCAGCCCGCTGTGGGATTTGAAGCCTCCACTGGGTGCCGATTTGCGGCATAGCTTCATCAAGCATAGCCTGTTTACTCGCAAAGCTTAACATCCTGTTGGTAACCCATGTGTTTGTGAGGCCTCGCTCAGCTGTGTGCTGTGTGCTCATCCATCCAGTGGGGGCCGGGAGCACGAGGGGGACCTGCGGTACTTCCCCTTTCGCATGACACCATACCTGATGAAGGTGCAGGACATGGAGCGTGCGGAGGACCAGTTCTGTTGCCTGCTGCTGGCCGAGAGGGTGCACTCTGGATACGAAGGTACGCCTCGCTTCACGGAAGCACGTTACTGGAACGGGGTGTCTGTCTTTCGCTAACCCTGCATAGTGTACGCGGTACTCTTATGGAGTAGAAGCGCCTCTCGGATCTAAGTGTAGGATCCCATTGAGTTTAGGATGTTATATAAGCTTGCTCTCTTTCCTTTTTTTGGCTTCACAGCTCCGAGAATTCCCACAGACAAGCGGATTTTCACCACCACGCACTCGCCAAACTGTGTCTTCCAGGACGTGGATGAAAGGCGAGTGGGAAGCTTCCAGTACAGTAACGCCAGTCTCCAGCCAACATGTTATGCTCCTTCATTTAACCATTATGGGGAAACTCTAACGCAGGTTTGGCACCATTGTGTGTCAGGAGGGACCTGACAAGGAACACTCTGTAACTATGACAACGGCATTCTAAAGTCTATGTGTGTGTCTCTCTCAGGGCTGTCCCTCTGCTGGGGTACCTGCCACAGGACCTCATTGGGACCCCAGTCCTCCTACACCTGCACCCAAGTGACAGGCCCATCATGCTGGGTGTCCACAGGAAGAGTGAGTCCAACGCCCAGCCTTAGCCCAATTAACCATAACCATAACCATGTTAGGGGCAGAGATGTTGCAACTGCTGCTTGGAATTCCTGTCATTTTAAAATCTCAAGTAGCACTGGACTTAGCTGATATAAAATATAACAGGTATTATGAATAAAAATGCCATTCAAAGATAATTTGAGATGGAGGGCATGTAGATGGTGTTGTGCCTAGATTGTGTTTTTTTTTTTTACTGATTGTGGTGAGTCAGAGTGGTGGATGACCAATTAGGTAAGCTGTCCCCAGTGACCGTGCCTGGACATTTATTTAACCAGCAGGGGGCACCCTTGTAGCTTATTAGATAGCAACATAGCCTTCCTAGGTAAAGGCTAGTTATAACTTTAATAAAATATTGTGCAGATAAATACACTGATGTGTCCTTCATACATTGATGAGTTTTAAAAGTTCGTATGAATACTTTATATATATATTCTTTGGAAATTAATGTTTGTTAGCAGCGATAGGAAAGTCTCATCATGTCATCCTCCACCTGTGGCAGTCCTCCAGTTTGGCGGCCAGCCCTTTGACCACTCCTCCATCCGGTTCTGCACCCGCAACGGGGAATACGTCACCCTGGACACCAGCTGGTCCAGCTTCGTCAACCCCTGGAGCCGCAAGGTGTCCTTCATCATCGGCCGACACAAAGTCCGCATGTAAGGAAGACTGACCCCCCTCCAACCTTCTCTCATGTGCCATTGCTGTGATAAACCCAGGCTGACCAGGCTGCAGACACTGCCTTTCCTGGGAATTCTGGGTAGTAGGAGTAATGGGCGGTGTCTCTGTCGTACCCGCGCAGGGGTCCTGTGAACGAGGACGTGTTCACACCGCCACCCTTTGCCGAGGGGAAGACCATGGACCCGGACATCCTGGAGATCACCGAGCACATTCACAGGCTCCTGTTGCAGGTGGGCTGCTGGGGCCTGGGCCTTGGGGCATCTCACACCCAACAGCACACGAAAACACTACGAGAATTCGTGAAATATTCACGTGCAAATTTCTCAGATCAAAAACAATCACAGACACGATGACTGAGAAAAGAACGCACGCCGAAAGAAACTGTCAATCTGGCAACACGCATTAGCCGCAGTGAGGATGAGATTTTCCTGTTTCTTTAAAGTCAAAGATGCTGAATACATCCAAATCTAAAAAAGCGCCAAGGAGACATACAGTACAAGAGCTTAAACTACAGCGACCGTTTCAGACTCGTATCCCGTTGCTGTGATAAACCCACAGGCTGACTGGGCCGCAAACGCCGCCTTTCCTGGGACGAAACTTCAATAGAAATATCTGTTTGATTCTGAATGATGTGGCTTATTTTTTTGTGTGAAAACAGCTTTTTTTTTGGCCATGTGATCACTGGAGCCTATTTGATCCCATTGCCTATTTGACCCCTTCTGTGCTGCATCTCCTTAGCCCATCCACAGCTGCAGCTCAGGATCCTACGGGGAACAGCTGCTGAACGTGGAGAGAGTTTCTGGAGAGAGCAGCAGCAGCAGGGGCAGGCCGGAGGAGGTCGAGGCTGAGCAGGCCAAGCCAGTGAGTGCCATCTTCATCATCATCATCATCATCATCATCATCAATGTGTCCGTTGTTACTCGATTAGCCAGGTCACTCTCTCTGCAGTCTCACTGCACCAGATAATCTCTGGTACCACATCTGCTGAGAGATGTAGCACTAGACATAAGAACCTAGAACCTTGACATTTAGTCCCAGGTTTCTATGCATTAATAAAGAAGCATAATAATTGCTGTTTATAATCCTCTTCTCTGTGAATAAAAAGGGGGGCACAGAGAATTGGCAGCTAATCATGAGTTATCTTCAGAAGTTAATAAGTATGGCAGAAAGAATCCTTAAAAATAGACTTTCTTAATTATAAAGCAGGATACTTTTTAAAAAATTAGTTTGTAACATCTCTCTATCGCCGAGCTTGTTAAGACGTTCCGGAATGTTCTGGAAAGTCTTTGCGCTTGATAGGATTTTGGAGAGGCTGACGCTGCGTGTCCTCCTGTGCAGCGCACGTTTCAGGAGATCTGCAAGGACATCCACTCGCAGAAGAACCCACAGCAGCAGATCGTCACGTCCATCTCGGCCAAGGTCGAAACAAAAAGAAGCCCTGGTGGTAAGTGGCCAGTACCCCCGGCGTCTCTGTGTGTTTGACTTTGTATTTGTGCGCGAGTGCGAGTCCATCCATCAATGAATTACACATCTGTAAGCAGGTGGTTCAAGGGCAGGTGTGATGGCTCAGTGAGACGCCCTAGTGATATATCTTCTACAGCAGGAACCCAGCAGAAGAGCCCAGCGGCAAGGCCCAAAGCAGGAACTCTTAGCTGGAAGGAGGACTTTGTCAGGCTGGAGGACCGTCCCTCAAGGCCAGACGAGCTCTCCTATAAGGACCAGACCATCAATTCCTACCAACAGCTCAGCTGCCTGGACAGCGTCATCAGGTCAGGACTATTTGCATTAGTTTGGATGGTAGTTTCGAAGTGTTTAGGGGCAATTACTGTCAGCGACAAACAGTATAAACATCTGCGGACTTCAGGCTGGAGATACAGTAACTGATAATCTACTCAGTAAATGATGAAGTTCCCAATTTTGGGTACTCCAGTCAGATCGATGGTTTTTTGAGGAACTTGTGGTGAACATGATCTCATGTACGGATGTGTGGCACTGCCCTCTACAGGTACCTGGACGGTTGCAACATCCCTGTCACCGTGAAACGGAAGTGCCAATCATCCTCCAATACCACCTCGTCCAACTCTGATGAGGACAGGCAAAAACCGTCCAGCAATCCCCTACCTGGGTCCAAAGGTATGACCCCGCCCACTTCCTTTTATCTGGCATACCCTCCCCCCCCCCCGCCATTCCCGGAAAGTAATTAAACTCTGACCAATGGCAGATGCTGCACTTATAGAGGCAGATGGCCAGCTATCCTCCATCAAGGAGCCGAAGAAGGCAGACAGCGGGGCAGTAGTGGGGTCCTCACTGGCGCCGCTAGCCCTGCCCAGTAAGGCAGAGAGTGTAGTGTCCATCACCAGCCAGTGTAGCTACAGCAGCACCATCGTCCATGTGGGTGATAAAAAGCCCCAGCCTGACTCAGGTATCCGTTCCTTGGGATTCACTTTTTCTAAACGTTTTTGCATCATGTTTCCCATACGACTCTGCAAAAGACGAGAGGGTATAGAAAATTGATGGATAGATGTTGGGGTTCTACCTCTCTGGTAATTTATTTTAATAGGGGTGTCAGAAATGTATTTACTGCTAGCTGGAGCGTTCATATGTGATCTGTGTGTGAGGTCATGGGGCTGCGTGTGAAGCCGCGTTTTCTTGTTGCAGAGATCATCGAGGATGTCACTGGCTCGGGAGAGGCCACGGAGGCCCTCGCCCCTGTGCCACCCCCCAATGCAGTATCATCCCCAAGCCAGGAGAGGGAGCCATACAAAAAGCTGGGCCTGACTAAACAGGTTCTTGCAGCGCACACGCAAAAAGAAGAGCAGACCTTCCTGTGCCGCTTCCGCGAGCTACGTGGCGTCCGAGCGGACTGCTCCCCCTACCTGGACCGACAACGGAGCGTAAACGGTATAACACATTTAAGCATGCGAAACGTGTTACATTAATCATTACTATGTGGATTCTGCAAACATAATATTGGGTAATAATAGTGTTTCCAGGGTGCCATCCTGGGCTGGGCATTTGGGTATGTTGGGTATGTAGCAGTCTTCAAATTAAGGTCTTCAAAGGTCGTCGACTGGGGTGGGGGGAATAGTCCCGGTATGACTAATGATTGGTTAAATTTGGTCGATCCCCCTGTAGCCCCGCCTCCAACTTTACATTGTATTTCAGAAATACATAGCTACTGTAAATACGTTTTCCCATTTCCCTGTAAGGACAAAGCAGGTTATATACAGTGGTGATCAAAATTTAAGAACAACTGAAGTTTTTGTAATATACAAAATCACAGCTAATCTGAATTCTAAGTGATTATAATGTGAATAGAAGATATTTTAATCATATTTCATCAGTGAAAGCTATGCCGCATCACAAAACAAATGGTTTAAACAAGGTATTTGAAGATGGCATGCAAACTAAATTAAAGAACAGTTCAATTGTTCTTTTTTTGTAGAAGAAGCCTACAAATGAATTCTGTCAACTTTTTTGATGGTTACAACTTTCAGAAATGAATAGGAAGCACAGAGGCCTTTGCTTTCAGCATCCACACGATGTAACCAATTTCTCAAACTGCTCCGACTTGATTTTGTTCCACTCGTCTGCCAGTTTCTTCCACAATTCGGTAACTGCAGTGGGTTTGTTTGCCATAACTTGTCACCAGTTACCTTCCAGAGATTCTTGATAGGGTTCAGATCAGGACTTTTCATCCCCTTTCATTACTCTGAGTAGATTATCAGTTACTGTATCTCCCCTATTTTTTGAAACGCAGCCAAACTGTTTGTTCACTCTGTCCCATGCCTTCTTCTACAGGAGGCCCCACCCCTGTAGTGAACGAGCAGGGTGTGGCTGGCACGGAGGCCGTGCCCCGGGCGGGAGGGACGGGCGCGCCCAGGAAGGGCGGCCGCAACAAGAAGACTAAATGGAAGAGGGCTAAGAAGCAGGAGTCGTCGGACAGCACAGCGTCCCATGGACAGCAGCCCCCCCGCGCCCCCCTGGCCAGCCTGCAGCAGACGTCCTGGTCCACGTCTGACACGTCACAGTCGGCCTTCCCCATGCCCGCCTACCCTGCCGTCATGCCCACCTACCCTGCCGTCCTGCCCACCTACCCCCTGCAGCTGTTCTCGGGGCCCAGGGCAGACCCGGCTGTGTCCAGCTTGGGGGAGAACCAGTGCGGTCAGGACCCTCGCTGCCCAGTCCCCCCCTCACCCTACACTGCCCCAATGGTCACACCAGTGGTGGCCCTGGTGCTGCCCAATTACGTATTCCCTCAGATAGGGGGCGCTCCACAGCAGCCCTTCTACCCCGAGGCGGCCTCCTTTCCACTCCAGCCTACATTCCCTCCGCAGCCGCAGTTCCCTCCCCTGGCGGCGTTCCCAGCCCCGCCCACCTTCCCTCCGCAGCCGCAGTTCCCTCCCCAGGCGGCGTTCCCAGCCCCTCCCACCTTCCCTCAGCAGCCGCAGTTCCCTCCCCAGGCGGCGTTCCCAGCCCCGCCCACCTTCCCTCCGCAGCCGCAGTTCCCTCCCCAGGGGATGTTCGCGGCCCCGCTGTTCCAATATGGGGCCCCAGCCGAGTCCCCCAAGGCTCCAGTGGCAGGGTCCCGCTCCTCCACGCCCCAGTCGACGCGCGACCAGGCCTCGCCGCCCCTCTTCCAGTCCCGCTGCAGCTCGCCACTGCAGCTCAATCTGCTGCAGCTGGAGGAAAGCCAGCGTTCCCTGGAGTGCCAGGAGGGAGCGGCGCCCTCTGGTGGAACGCAGGGGAACAACGTGGGAGAGAGGGGAAGCAGTCCTCCCAAAGCCGACAAGGAGCTCCAGCCGGTAGGAGCCCCTGTCACTCATTTATCATCCCCATCGTACACATTCACGTACAGCAACAACTCTCTTGAGTACAGAGATTTTATCTCATTATTTCTTGTACTATATTTGACAAAATGCTAGTAATTTTGCTGGGAAAAGTGTTGACCTACAAGCTATAATAGACATGGGCTCTGGTGGAAGCTAGAGTCCTACTCTGCTTTAGCCGTGTCATCACTGAGCTACTAAAAGATGCGGCAGCCTTTCATTCGCTGTTACACATCCCGTACTTCTCATAAGACACTTCTGTTATGGGAAGACCCATATATTGCGTAACACTTGCAGCTGCAGGGGATTGTGCTCAGGTGCCAGTCTGTTGTATATTGTGTTATAATGTGCCGGTGAGCTAGTGGTTGCTTGACCTTTCTGTGACCTTGTTGCCCCCAGGTGAGCCCCGTATGTGAGGGACACTACAGCGATGGGCACTCCTCCTCCAGCGACCTGTTGGACATCCTGCTGCAGGAGGACTCCCGTTCTGGGACTGGCTCGGCCACCTCAGGCTCGCTGGGCTCCGGGTCCAATGGGTGCGGCAGAGGTCCGTCCGCGGTCCCGGCTCTGCCCGGCATGTCATGCGACTTATTTTGTTTGTTTGTTTGTCTCCTTGTTTGTTTTGAGGCTTAACCACCAGTTCTCTTTGATATCCTCAGGGAGCAGCCACACCAGCAACAACAGCAGCAAATACTTTGGCAGTGTAGACTCGTCACAGACCAGCCAGCAGGGGGCGACGGTGCACAACAATGAGGTCAAAGACCCTGCGGGCGGAGCACGCTTCAAATATGTTCTGCAGGACCCCCACTGGCTTCTCATGGCCAACGCGGGTCAGGCCGTCATGATGACTTACCAGCTGCCCTCACGGTGAGTGCCCAATGAGTGCTGTCCCCACCCCCCACATGTTCCCAGGGCGAGAGGGGTACCTTTGTGTATGAGAGATAGGGTAAACATTCTTAGGCAGTGCTTCCTAACCCTGGTCTTGGCTGGTTGTTCAACTGTCTTTAGCAAGCTAACAACTTCAGGTTACACAAGATTAGATGAGGCTAAAAACCTAACTGAGTCAGAGTTATGTTAAGCTCAGTAGCATGTGACCTTAAAAACTTAGGGCGCTTTTCCACCGCACAAAGTGCAGTACTTTTCGGTACGGTACTTTTGGCACTTTCGCTTTTCCATTGACTTCCGGTCGAGTACCAGTGCCGAAAGTTCCAGTACTGAAAGTGCCAAACCAGCTGGGGTACTTCTTTGGTACTTCGGTACTTTGGGGTGGGACTTACAAACATATTTGCTGTCGATTTGGTTATGCAAATAGCCTGCCGCTGAAACACAAAATACACACAGCGAACAGCGAGAAACTAAATAAAAAGCAGTAGAAACAAAAATATTAAAAAAGTAAAACGGAAGGATGGACAAACGAGGAAACACAGGCTTTAATCGCCATATGGTCGGATGGACAGATCCAGCAGGATTTGGATGACAAGACTCGGAATAAAAACGTGTTTGCCGTAATAGCAAGCCACTTGGAAGAAATGGGGCACACGAGAAACACCGAACAATGCCGCTTGAAAATCAAAAAACTTAAGCAGGACTACAGGAAAGTGAAGGATCATAACGAAATGTTTGAATTCAGCGAAAGAAATACCGCATCACGCTTTGTGATGTCAGTCAGGGGTGATCACTGATGATGTCACTTGGCGCCGGTACCAGTTTTTACGCCAGTGGAAAACCAGCATAAAAGAAGTACCATACTTTTGGTACTTTATGGAAGTACCAAAAGTACCGAAAGTACGGTACCTGGTGCGGTGGAAAAGCGCCCTTAGACAAGTTCATGAAAGTGAGCCCCACTCAGGTGAGGATAGTAAGCATGGTCCCCAGCGGCTGCAGGGAGGATGCAAGTGAGGATACCAGTAAAAACCAACAGCAGAGGGGAGATGGTATGCAGTGGACACTCAGGGAGTGGAAAAGCATCTGTGTAACTTCATGTGATGCATAGTCTGTTTTAGATATATTTACATTTTTATTTTAGATCCTATTCATCGGCAGATTAATTATCTTTGAAATTGTTAGTATATCTCACTGGTCTGGGGGGAGTGTGTGGCTCAGCGGACTAAGTCTCTGTGATCAGAAGGTTGCCAGTTGGAGCCCAGCGTTGGCAGTATGGTCACTTGCTATCACCTGTATATGTGTCTGTGTGTCACATGGAGAGCAAGATGGGGTAATATGAGAAGAGAATTTCCCCACAAAGAGTAATAAAGTATCACTATTTTAGTATATTTCATTCAACGATCAGCCAAAAACAATGGGCTAAAAACAGGATCTGCTGCCCCCATGTTGACAGGTGACATCCACAGGCAAATGTAGCATGTACTGTACACGTGCGCGACCGTGTGCCGACCACAATGACATGTGGAAATGTGAAGTGTAAACCAGGATTTAGGATTGATTGAAAGATTCATAATGTTGATTCCCAGCTGGGCCGATTCACCTGTCACTGCCAGCCCACGGTAATCATAAAGAAAGGCCTGTAGGCTCGGTGTAATTTGACCGTCTTTGTGCCATGGGGCCCACAGGGACACCCAGAAGGTGCTGAGGCAGGACCGAGAGAAACTGCGGCGCATGCAGAAGCGCCAGCCACACTTCACTGAGGACCAGAAGAAAGAGCTGATGGAGGTACATCCATGGATGAAGAAAGGAGGTCTACCCAAAGCCATTGATGTGCAGGTGAGCCCCTGCAAGGCATTCGCTCTGGTATTAACCTGGGCAGAGTCTGGGCAGAGCGGACCATGTGACCATCAAGACTGATCCTATAGTATCGAATACTGCTTTACAAACCAAGCCAACGCAAAATAGAGCTGGGAGCTGGTGGCTTTCTGAACAGGTCCTGAAGAGAAATTCTAATGCCTGCAACTGGTGCCCATAGATGCTTTCACACTGAAGTTTCCAGAACCTGGTCCCTGGGCTGTCTTGATTTTCATAGCTCCTGGCCACATTTGTATGTCGCCTTCCCACCATGCAACAGGAACTGGAACTTTTATGCTAAATAAATATGGGAGGTGCATGAAGTTCGTAGGTTAAACTTAATGCATAATTTCATATGAAAACACACCACCATACCAAAACATTGCAGGATGAACAAGTGGTTTGGTAGTTATTGGTTAGTGATTGGGGATCAATCTCAATCAAAATGCGACACAGCCTTTTATTTATATTTTATTTATACAACCCATGACTTGTTTGTGATTCTTATTAAATCTAGCCTGCAGATCGATCCTTTTCATTTTCCACAGAATAAAAAAATGATAATGTTATTCTGGCTAACAAGCACTAGCAAGTTTCACTGGTGGTACCAGCAATATTAGACAAACATATATTGCTTATCGATTTAATTTTCTGATGCAGAAATATGCAAGCAAAAATGTATTCATTGATGCATTGAGGTACAAAAATAATTCCCATATGCTCAGTTTTTGGTCCACTTCTTCTATCTTCTTTTCCTGCATTTCTGTGTAACTTCCAAGTTAGCGCTGATGCTTCTGGTCAACCAGTCAGCAAGTTATCGCTGTACCTCCCCAGTAGTTTGTATTCAAATGAAAAGTACCTAGTCTGGAGAAGGGACTAAAAAAGGGTTCCGGGACTGCCTCAGAGGAACTATAATCAGGCCGAGTTCCTGCAGTGTGAACGTGACAAAAGTTCTGGTAAAAAGTTCTGGTTCCTGAAAAAAGTTCCAGTGATGTGAAAGCACCTCGTGTCTGATCAGGTCTCTAAGTGGATTACAAATCTAGGCAGATATCTGGACGATCACAGGTCCGCATTCCATGGCTCCTCACTGTTGTACCCTAGAGCAAGGCTCTTAAGCAGAGATGGGCTGACCCTGCTCTCACTAATGCTTGCTGTGGACAAAACTGTCTACTGATGTAAGTTCTTAGATTATGCTTCTGAAGATTTCAATGTCAATTTCACTGTAGCTCAGATGAATAGAAAAAAACCCACAATAGCAAATTGAATATGAATTTTCCGGTGAGTGCCCTTCCTTGAGTGCCCTTCCTTGAGTGCCCTTCCTTGAGGGTCATATGGATGTGATCATGGCTCATCTTGTTTTGACCACAGGCCTGCATGTGCTGTGAAGAAATCGGTTCAGCCCTGATCGAGGAGGAGCCCCCGGACCTGGACTTGGGAGACACAAGTGACGGGCCCACCCAGAAGGGCAGTGAGGGCACACCACTGGCCAGTGCCAGCCCATTGGCCACCTGAGGTGCCACCCACCACCACAGAACTGCTCACCCCCTCACTCTTCACTGCCACAGGAATCCAGCCATGAGGACATAACAGGCCCTCTCATACACCTCAAGCCTAAGTGAGGTGAACGTAAAATGTAGCTGTGTGACAGGACAGGGCTTTAACAAAACACAGATCATGCTGCTAGGCAACGAGGGAGAAGCGTGGCAGCGGGCTGGCTCTCGATATGCTGCCGCACATGCGGAGGATGACCGACCACCCCCCACCCCCCGTTTGAACTGTTTGTGGGAGGGAGGGGGGGGGGCCACCAGCTAGCAGGATAATGTCAGTTGTCTAAAATATGGTGATCCATAACAGAATATTAATTTATCCAGATTCACCATGTCAAATTCCTCACTCTCTGGTCTTTGAGTTTTTCGTTAGAAGGAGAAAATGGAAACATTTGTTGCGTTTGAACTGTCCGAATCGAACTCCAACACGTGTGACCTGGCGTGAGTGATCTGGTCTTTTTTAGTCACATTTTCTATGTCCAGTGCAAATATTTTTCCAGAAACGCAGCACCTCTGTGTCCTGATATGTGGGACTTTCTACTCTTTCTTGAGCTTTTATTTATCCAGATAGAACATTCAGGAACTGCAAAGCACACGTCAGTAAAAGGAGGAAGACTTTGTCTTCAGGCGGTTCAAACAGGTATAAATAATATATATTTTTATAAATAAAAATTTAAAAACTAAATAAAATTATTCCCTGGAAAAAAATGCAAGAGCATTCAGCCCCGTTGTCTATGTTGTGTTGTCCTAAATGTCTTTGCATACAGTGTAATGTTGGTGGTGTATGGGGACCAACCTTATGTTAAGGAGTTCAGAGAACCCAGAATCAACCGTTACAGTCAGAAAAAAAATGGCCAAAGGTCAGAGTATCTTATCCTGATCCTCTCCTTTAACAGCTAGTCCCTATTTAGGGATAAGGTGAATACCCAGTGAAAAGTGGCATCCAGTTAAGAGGCTGTCTTGCCATGACTCTTAATCCAAGACTGGATACTTCTGCTGGAAAGCATTGTAGTGACCATTGTACTTTTGTGATTTTGCTTGTTTCATTCCCAGCTTTTTCTGAGGTAGTTTGTCTGCCCCGTCCCCCATGACCTGCTCTATGATTGTGTGGAGTGTATTTAAAAGAAGTTTTGTGTACATTTACTGTTCTATGTTGCCAAGACACACAACAGTGAAACATCACCTTAAATGGATTTCTGTCTACCTGCACATTTTTAAACAAACGTTTTGGTGCTTATTTACTTGTATTTGTTTTTATTGCTTGATAGACAATGGGGATGTTTCTTCTTATTTTAAAGACATATTGTCATGAGATGTGAACATTCTTCATAAGCAAGAACTGTAATTAAACTTATTTTAAATATATTCAATAATTGCTTTCTTATTTCAGTCTGTCACGGGCTTGCATTATATTAATGCAGAGAAAATATGTATGAGTTGGGAGAAATTTGTGTGCAGATACCTCGTGAAAGCACCGTCATGCTGGTCTCCTTCAGAAGTGCCACGCTGTCCCAAAGGAATCCCTCAAGGCGTTAACTCAGTCCACCACAAACAGCTGACAACGGCAGCAGTTACTAACACCAATAAACCGGCAAGATTTTCAGGATGTTTTCATTTTGAGAATCGATTCCATTGTTGAAATATTCATTTTATTTATTTATGTTTTAACTTTGTAATCTAAATGTTTAGAATTATAGGGAGAAGAATATAAACTTCTCACCCATAAGGGGGGAGAAATGGGAAGACTTTTAGGGGCCCAATCACTGTGGGCTTCCCTAGTCCCAGGTTGGGCCGGCACAATATCTGGATTTGGGTTAGTAATATCAACCTTGGTGCTTCTTGATTTGGAATCGAAAAGACAAGCAGTGGTATCATTCATCCCTTATCTGTAGCCTACTTGTGCTGTTGCATTGTAGTATTCTGGAAGTTGAGTCATTCACTCGGAACCATCAGTCCCATAGGCCATTCTGTTCACTGTTGTACAGGCTGAAAAATGATTGTTCTAAATCCAATTTAGTGATTTCGTTCTGCATTTTCTTGTGACTTCTTCAGTCCAAACTAAAAACATATGATATGTTTTATGACATTTTTTGGTTACTTATATTCGTTAGCATAATTTTGATAAAAGGATTAACTTTTGAATGAACTTTTTTTTTCGAATTGGTGAATTGTCTGGCAGTTGTCAGTTCACAATACATGGCAGTTGGGGAGGTGGATTAAATCCCAAGGGTGCTATTTAATGGCCATATGCTCACACTGGAGCCGTTACATTGTAAAAATAATTAAATTCGTTAGATTTGTTTGACACCAAAAGCTCACTGCCACCGTCCTGATGGCAGCACGTATGGACGCCTAGATTCTAAGATAAAAATGGAAGGCTAACTATCTATCCATCTCTCTCTCCCTCTCTCTCTCTCTCTCTCTCTCTATGACACATGAAACAAGACCCTGTATCATTTCGTCCTGTGTCCCAAGGGTATTCCCGTCATTTTAAAAAAGATCAGAGTGTCTCAGAGATTCACACACTGACTTTGATCAAAGCTTCCCCGTCCGTCCTCTTGTCGGGACATTCGCACCTCGGCCAATTTGAAAAGGAGGCGTGAACTCCCCGCCACCTTCTCCACTGGGCTTGCCCCTCCCTCGGCTGTCTGCTAATCCAGTCTAGTTAACAGCAGCGCCATCAATAGCTGAAAATAGTGTGCGAATGTAATATGTGGATTTCGAAAGGAATTAATATAAAATTTGAGGTTATATTTATTAGGGCAGCAGGAGACGGGGTCGTTGTGCAGCCGAACGGGTCAGTTGCAGGAAAGGCCTAACTCCTGCTGTAGTCCCCTTTATCAAGAAATCTGAAGTTTAGCTTTTTTATACCCCAGAAGCTACCATTCCGTATAAAGAGAGCGAAAGCGTCAGCAAAGCAAATTCATTGAAATAAAAAAATGTACTCGCTGTCCATCGGATCTCAGATCCTTTTCTGTCTACTGACACGCAGAGTTTGATCTTCTGCACTGCCGTTATATTATACCAAATTAATGAAAAATTATTGCCCTGTGTTTTTGTATGTTATTCATAATGGACGGAAGCAAAATAATTTCAGGATGCATCTGTAAAGTCGGCTATAGCAATCAGAAGCACAATAAGGATGCGGGTTCTTTTAATGCTTGCCTGTTGTTCAGAACAGGAACTAACATTCAATTGCCGACCAAAGCGAATGAATCCGTGTAGGCTCCCGATAGTGTCTCCAGCGCCACTTTGCTGTCTCGGTACCAGGGAAGGTGCGACTTTACACGGATTTGCACAGCGGCTGTCGCCACAGGCGAGCCCTTTCATGTCCGTCGTGGGAAACGCATTTGTTGGGGGCGGGGGGGCGTCTGTCCGCTCCTGTCGCCACCGCAATCCCCTAGACTTGGGAGTGCAGATTTACACGACACTAATGTCAGGAATAAAAATAATACAGCCTTCTAAAACTGTAGCCTTTCTAAAAAAAAAAAAAAATACAGCCCCTGTTAAAAGTTTACAGTTGAAATTTAATCTTAATCATTTATGGAGAATATTTAAACAACATCTGGTCAGTTCAAAAAAGTATCCTTAAAATAAAATTCTGAAAATATAATTTTTAAATGTGTGTGCCCTTTCCATTCCATAAAGATACTTTCATATAGAAAACCTGCTTTACTGGTGACTCACCTAACTATAACCGTTTGGGGCCTATGTGTGACCGTAGGCATATACTTATATTTAAATTGTTAACTCTTATACTCTAAGTTTAAGTTTTCATATAAAACGTCTGTGCCTTTTTCTTAAAGGTACGGATGACTAGGAAAACGGCATTGACGGAACTGATGTGCTTTCACTGTAACTTGTAAGCACATGAGCCGATCAGCATTGATTTGGTACTTGGAAGTGAATAGCCGAGAGAGTTGCAGGCACCGCGGGGAATGACCGTTGTCTATCGAGGCGTTGCTTTTCACACTTTACTGTATAGAAGGAAGTTATAAGTCGGATATCCAACACCTCATAAAAACACAATGTGACTCAGGAATACGAAAATAAGTTTGAAACCAAGACACTGCAATCTTTGGGGGGGGGGGCATAAAACTAATATTTCATGTTAAATGTAGGGAGGTCCAAACGGATAATTATAAAATGTGAGGGGGACACGTCACTAATACAGGGCCGGTAACTATCGGAATTATATCGCTGAATGTATTCTAAGTGTTCCTTTACTGTTTATTTACTAAATCCATGAATCTTATTTGGTGCTTCTGAAAATCAAACAGATCCAAACTGACCACTAAAGTAATTTATTTCGATTTAAAGTGTCCCACTAGTGTATTTTTTCCCTTGGCAGTTGATTTATATTGGAAAAGAAAATTCCCAGACCTAGACTTGGAATAAACAGACAATGGTGGTTCGGGGTGTAATTACGTTTAATAGACTTAAAACAAGATATTAGATTCATTAAAGAACCACGTTGTGTGTAGAACGTGATACATAGATACAGTGAGACTCTGAACTTAGACAAGACGTACATAACAATAATAAGCTCATTCAAATATCAATCTTCTTTATAATAATCCTATATCGAACAACTTAATTTATCGATCAAAACTAATAAAAACCTACATATACAATCACTGCAAGTCAGTGTTTTCACGTGCTATTTATAGGCACAAATCTGCTCTAATACAAAGTCCCTACCACAATTTAGTATTTACATCTGAGTAAACTGCCCTTCCTTCACTGAAGGAAGACATTCGTGCCTACTTGAGTGAGAAACACCGCTATGGAAGATTGATCGTGGTGATGCAAAGACACATTATCCCTAGCATAGAACATTTAAAAAGCCAAATGTTTACTTATAATCTTTAGAGTTCACGTCGATTACATGTGTACAGACATAACCAATATTAAGGTTCTGCCTTTTTCCTTTTAAAAAGAGCTTTTTCCGTGATTATCCCTCTAAACATACATATTTACATGGCGGGTGCCTTTCCGGGATCAATGATCAAAGATCCAGAAAGAAACAGTGCAGGGTACTTTAAAACATCACCAGAAGGGAAAAAAAAACACCCGCACTGCAGAAATTAGATCTAAAACCGACTAAGTACATTGGGTAGACTCAAGCACAGTTAGTAACTATGTCAGCGTGGAAAAACAAGGGTTTGACTTCTACCACGGTCTCCACATATATTTGGTATAGGTCGTTGTGGGCATGTTTTGGACCTCTCTGTTCTCCACGACCTCGGGAGATATGTGGTTCTGTTCACTTTCGGTTTCTTCCAGATCAGAACCGAGGTCCTCGCTGGATGTGGTGGAGGGAGCCGGCGAGAGGGCAAGCGGACTGCTGCTGGACATACTTCGAGCCCCAGGAGACACCAGCGCCGCATAAATCCCCTCAGTGGCCGGCCATGCGCTGCCGTTACTGGAGTCCGACATTAAATCCACAATTATGTCCTGGAAGTGGTCCTGATCGTTCAAAGGCATGCTTTCCAGAAGGTGGTTGAGAAGCTCCGCAGCCACCGTGGCGTCAATTCCCGGGCAGTTGGACACGAATGTGTGCACCTCATGCATACACTGGATATAGCCAGCTGCAAACCTCTCGCTCGCTTCTCGGTTCACCGTGTCGACCTCTGTAGGGGTGCCGAAAAAATACGTTAAATTCTTAAAACAATAATCATCACGTGCAAATCTCCGAAATATATGGCATGCATCCAAACCCCATCGCACTTCTAAATATAAATCTAAATACATACCCTGGGCTCTTTTCTGTAAGATGTTTTCAACTCGCTTCACGGTCATTTCCAGCACTTCGGCATTCTCCATCTTTGACTGGAACTGTAGAGAACAGAAGATTATCGTGGTAAACTTAAAAACACAGACATTGTTGAAACTAGTCAAGATTGTAACTGTACGCTGCAACTACATACGTGACGACAAATAAACATACCTCTGTGTCTGCAAGAAGTGTACGGAGTTCTTGCAAACTTTCATTGATGCGGGCTCGCCTCTTTTTTTCCACCAAAGGCTTTCTTGCCTACAGTGGAAATATTGAAAATCACGTTGATACTTACAACTCTTGGAGAAATCGCATTGCCATAAAATCAATAAAGCTGCATTCGTTACCTTTCTGTCTCCCTTTATTCCATAATATTCGTCCTCGCCCCTGTTAGATCCGTTTTTGTTGGGTCTAGATGAGGGGGCCATGTTGGTTTCACCCACACAGTGCAGAAAGCTGCGTTTGTATTCCACAGTTACGTTATGATCCTTCAAAGTGGCAGATGGCAGGCGGACCCCGGTACAAAAAAAATCCCCACAATACAGGCAAACAAGCCCTTGTGTTTATTATGTAACCCTTAGGAGATGTGCTTTTGGCACGGCGAAGTTGTAGTAGGTATTTATAGACATTAATTAACATATGAATAAGATCCTTGGCTGACCGAGCCTGGGGACCCTAGAGCGTATCGCGTATCAGCCAATCAGCGACCAGCTCTTTGTCTATCTCGCCGCAATTCGGCCTGTACCGTAAAGGCCCTTCAAGAGCGCAGTTTATTTTTTTGTTTACTGTTCTCGGCTCGATTGTTTCTAGTTTCCCATACGCTTCACAAATATGCCGTTCAGTCTGCTATTTAAATATTTAATTGTTAATGGTTAACAACAGCAAAACATGGGTCCAAATAAAAGCAACACTTTTAGCTTTCATCTTGCAGTAGTCGTATTATGATCATAATGCACTTTTCTTTTCTACGTTATTTACACAATGCTTGTTTTTTCGTGTGCTGCATGTGATCGCCCCTTTGTATTTGTAACATGTCACTGTTGATATAATATTGATTTCTTGGTATATTTAGTGACGATCGCGATCCATTGCTATATTTCCCCAAAATATTCGCAATCTATAAAACATTAACAATTATGTTTTATTTTATTCACCTTCCTTCTCCCTTAATTTGCCTTTGGGTGACGCGACCCTGCAAATCGTTAGTGGGAGGCCCGGCGCATGTAATACGACGCCGACAGTTGGCAGCTGCAGCCCGCAGACACTCGGAGCAGATGAATTAAAAGCGAGCATTGAGACCTTGTCCCCAAAGAAAACGACAGGTGTTGCATCGCGCTTCATTTGTTTCGCCCTTGTTTGCCGTGGTCTGTGAGTGGCTGCGGATTCAGCCAGTAACTCCATGCATTAACTCAGTGCAGTGACACGGGCGGCACACGGCTACAAACATGTCCAATATATTAGAATATATGAGAATTCAAGAAATCTGGGAATATTCGTATTTTTCCTTATTACGGATAAAATGACTGACCTCGGGGAAAATACTAAGGAAAGTGGTTGCTCATATGGAGGGGTTGCATTTATAAAATCAAAATAATTGAACAATATAGCTGTTGTATTCGTTGATTGTAGAGTTAGGCAATTGCATCGTCATTATAGTAGGCTAAATGTTTCTAAACAGATTATGCCGTTCTTGCCAATTAATAATATGAGCAATGTGAAGGGTATGATGGAGTTGTATAATGACCTAGTATCCTGACTCATGCAGCATCAAGTTCCACAAATAATAAAACAAATTATTAAATGGTTTCCCCCTTGACATCAGAAATGCAGAACTTTAGTTGGTCCCTGACCCAGGACGGAAAGAATAAGTAAAAAAAAAAACAATTTGTATTACGGTGATATTCACAGGTAAACGTCGATTGCCCTAAGGTAAGAGAAAAATAGGTTGATTGAAGCACAATAAAATACCGCCTCACAACTACAGCTTTGAAGTTGAGCCTTTTGGCACTCTGTCATTCTCTAGCTTGATGGTGGTAAATTGTCTGGCAATAAAGCAGACGCCGTGTGTTAAATCAATGAAGTGCTATACCAGGCCTATCCTGAATGAGTTAATATCTTATAGAAATATTTCTAAGTGACAAATAAAATGAAATTAAGAATATCCAGCTTTTAAAGTAGTTGGCTTACGGGTGTGGAAATGATCAGAAAGGGGCAGAAAAGTAAGACAACATAATACAAAAAGTTTATTTGATAAAATATAGCGCTATTAAAAACCAGGTTTCTGCATGAGTGTTCGATTTGCGATCTGCCTGGCATCCCCCTGCCTTGTTTCTCATGGTTCCTAGGATAGTTTCGATCTTCTGCTGGTAAATGGTTATGGTAAGATAGAGATAAAATCAACAAAAGTGTATTTATATTGGGATTTCCCCAAGACCCGTATAAACATCGTCAACGAAGCGATTAGAGCAGACATTGTGGCAGTAACGATCCAGTTTGCTTTATTTCATTATTATTGATCTTAGTGCAATGCACGGCTCCCCCACTAGGCGGTCTCATTTCTGACCACATGTTAAAAGCACTTACCATTCAGCCAATATTTTTAAAACGCCAGTCTTCCATCACCAGAGCTGGATTGGGGTTGGGGATGGTCCCCATGATAAATTTTGCACCTATCAGCCCAAAATGTCCAATATGCCATAAGGCCAATACAGGCCTACGCATAGCATAAACCTGAACTGCCTTAAGTGCAGTGAACTTAGCCTACCCCAAAACTAAAATCTTGATATTAGCGGATTTTCTTAACAAAATCAGTTTTCCTAAATATGAATATTCAAAAACTATATTAAGCATGAAAACTGAAATGAATGATTTTAAATAGTTAAAAATCCATGACTTGATTCCCAAATGATGATTAGAGAAACCATCCATAAATAGAAACAGCTTTATCTCAGGTATAATATTGCTATTCGCACATTATGTTTATCGAGGCACGCTGAAATGCCAAAAAGGGTGTGGCTTGTGGCTTAGGAATGAGGGTCCATGTCTGCAAGATTGCTGAGGCAAATCCCACGTCTAGCAGAGTCGGTGCATCACTTGGGCAAGACTCTTATCCCCACACTGTTCTAGAAGTGTTGGCTAGATAGATGACCCTGCACTCTGACTAAATGGAGTACCTTCATTTACATCTATATCTTTATCTATATATCTATCTCTGTGTGTGTGTGGATTAGGTTTATATTGCATTGTTGAGACCAAATATCCCCCACACTGAAATAAAAAACAATTTTTTTGACGTTGTGGGGACCCTTTTTCAGGTCCCCACAAAGATCTGTGAATACAATCAAAAAAAGGAAAAAATCCAGAAGTCTTGTACTTTGTTCGGTTATTTATGGTAAAGGTTAGGGCTGGGTAGGGATTAAGGTTGTCATGTTGGGATTAGAGTTTTCCCCATAGAAATATTATTACACAAAGATATTATTACAAACCTTTGTGTGTATGTGTGTGTGTGTGTGTGTGTGTGTGTGTGTGTGTGTGTGTGTGT